GAAACCCTATACAGGGTCGCTATGGGTCGGAATCGACTCGAGGGCACTTAAAAACAACAACATCTATATTGTAGAAGGTCTGTATAGCATGTCTGTCTAGTCTGCCATCTTGCTGGAAGTCTTTTCCATATTACCTATTTCAACTAGCATCTGTGCTATCCTGCACAAATCTATCTGTAGAAGACATTCCTACTGAATCCAAGAGTGGGTGCATTTAAATTTCAACTTTCCCAAGACGGTTGCATATGAATGGCAGCGTCACTTCAGAGCAGCCTTCACTAGGCTTCTCCTTTATGTTCCCAGCATCCAGCAGCACCAGGTACCAGGTTCAAAGCAGTATTAGTTCAGCCCCTATTGCTATGGCTCCCCTGCTGGTTTTCTCCCTCACCAGAATGTCAGACTACAAAGAGCAGGGATCTTGGTTTGTTTAGATCTCAAACACCTGGAAGAGTGCTACCAGTACTGGGCACAGATTAGGTGCTCAGTAGAAATCTGCTGCATGGGTGGATGACTAGCTTGGGGTCAAAATTGCCACTGCCGTCCCCCCACCCCCACCCCATGCTGCCCGGTTGTACCTACAGGTACAGACTTGTGACAAGTAGACCATTATAGTCTACTCAGGAACGGTCTGAGACCGTCCTAGGTGGAAACGTGGAGGGCTGGCAGAAACGCCGAAGGGTTGGCAGAAACACCAGGGCGCAATTCGCCGCAGGGCAGGCTGTTGATTATATCTAGCTCCGCCCCCAGAGGATCCGCTCGTTTCGGGGATCCGCCCCGGTCCTTAGCCGGTCCCGCTCATGCCCCTCAAGCCCCGCCCGTCTCTCAAGCCCCGCCCCTGCCCCAGAGCCCCGCCTCAGCCATTAGCTGGCCTCAGCGCGGGTGCGTCCGGCTCCGACCTTGCAGCGGCGCAGCGCAACGCGGGCGGCGGCGGGGAGGAGCCGAATGAGCGCGGCGGCTGGTGAGATCTCCAATGAGCGGCGCGGAGCCTGCGCCTCAGACGACCCGAACCCGCTGCATCCCCCTTCCCACGGCTCACCTGAGGTCAAGTGACAGGTAGGGGCGCGGATTCCGGGCCCCCTACCCGAGGCACCGAGCCGGTAAGGGCTGGGGTCGTCTGGGCATCCCTGGCCCGGCAAGGGGAGCAGGCATCTCCCGCGAATGTGGAAGCAGTCCCAAAACCTTCCTAGCTCGCGCCCCCGCAGCCCCAGGTCTCAACACCCAGCACTGCAGTTTTCCTTCTGCATCTGCAGACCCAACGTTGCGTTTTTTAACCCCTCCAGCACCTTCACCCCTAGGAGATGAGTGAGAGGATTTGCGAGGGATCTTAGGGTGGCTGCCCTCGCCCAGCCTGGACTGGTCTGCCTTCCGAGGACTTTTGAACCCCCACAGCGGCACCTGCCCAGGGATCCCGAGCACTCCGGCTGGGACAGAGCCTGGGGGGCATCATGGCCTACCTGACCTTGCTACAATCCTTGCTCTCAGTCTCCCTGGCTGACCAGTGGTCTGGTGCCTCCAAGTCATCCAGCTGTCAGTTCGACCTGGGGGGTCCTGAGGCCTTATTTCTGGGCCTGTTAAAACAGGGTACCAGCTCCTAAGCCCAGCGTTCTCTCCTCTACCTTTCCCTTCTTCAGACTGGTTTCTCCTTCTGCCCCACCTCCTGGAGATACGACTGGACAGACAGGTACCAGGTACCTAGAGAAGGATCTAGTAAGCAGCAGTTCGGACCTCTCAGCCTAGTTGCCTGATATAGACTGCTGGTCCCAGAGGAAGAGCAGGGGGCTGGGGGAATTCCCCCAGGTGGAGCATGGGGGCTCAGCAAGGCTGGGCATGACGATGGACCCAGTCGGTTCTCTGCCTTCAGAAACCCATCAGAACCACCCCACTCAGAACTGGCTAGTCGGATCTGCCGTACTGAATGAACTTTGTTGGAGGGGTGAGGGGTGGTGGTGAGGAGGGCTGGGGGCTGATTGTTTTGCAACAGAAAAATTTCCCCAAGGGAAAGGGTGAGAGGATAAACTGAGGCCACTGAAGTTACTCAGATCCCACAAAACCCTTTCCTTGGGGTCCCTGAATAAGGAGCTTTGGGATCCAGGCAAGAGACCCATCCAGAGACTAAAGTGCTAGGTTCTACTACTGCCCTCATCCATTCTCTGCCTGGTGCTTACCTTCCCCATGCCTCAGTCTCCCCATCTACAAAATGGGCCTGAAGGCCTCCCAGTATACATAGTAGAAGGATTCTGGCAACCTGACGCTTGCAACACCCTACAAGTGGTAGCTGTTATGGCTGTAATAATGAGTGTGATTTAGATTCTCGGGGCTGGTTCCAGGCTTCCCTTTTCTGCAGCTGGAGGTGCACCCCTGCCACCCCCGTTTGCTGGAAGGAAGAGCCTTTGGCAGGAACCCCAATTGGGATGGGGTCACTTGCTTATCCTATGTTATCCCTTAGCATTTGGGATCAAGGCAAGCTGACCATCTCCTTGGACCACGCCCAGCCCTGGGCTTGGCACTTCTGGCCACCAACTTGTCCCTGCCTCTTGGGCCACACACATCACCCACATGCCCACGGTTTGTCCTCCAGCTCTTCCTGTCCTAGCCTGCTGTGCCCTCTGAGCCAGATGGATGGGGAGCCTGGACGTGCCTCCTAGCCCCCACCTTTCCTCCTCACTATCTACCCTCCCCTTGATAACCTGAAACATCACGGAGGTCTGGCCATTCAACCTGTGCTGGGTTGTACTCTGACTCTGAACCTGGGGACATGGGACCTGGATGTTGTCCTGCTCTTACCCCAGCTCACTGGGTGGTCCTAGGCAAGCCTCATCCAATCCATACCCTGCCTTTTTTGAACCTCAGCTTCCCCATCTGTGGAGTGTGGTTCAGCTGGACTGTGATGCTCATCTCCAGAATTTGTTGATTCTGTTGAAGTTACATTCTTGGGGCGCCCAGGTGGGTGGGTTACACCACTTGGGGAGTAGTGGGTGTGGGGAAAGACTTCCCCTAGGGACTTGGAGATAGGGACAGGAGAGCCAGCAAAGCCCCCTGGGCTGCCTCCTGTACCGCTCTGACCTCCAACCCCGCTCAGGGGGTGGCGGGACTACTGATGCCCTTTAGGGGGTGGGTGGCAGCTAAGGTGGCTGAGGGGACTGAAGCAGCAGCCGTATGGCAGTGGCTTGGCCAGGAGGCCTGAAGTGGCAGGGGGCCAGGAGTTTCCCTCTCGGCTCTGATCCGAGCTTCCCGGCTTGCTCCCCGAGGCCTCTGCATTGCAGAAGACAGGCACAGTTCTGGTAGCTCAGCAAGATCCCTGATTGGAGGTGTCTTCCCCTCTGTTCCACTCCACCCTTGGTCCAATATAGATCCAGTCCCCCTGGGAGGGACTTCTGCTAACTAGCAGCCATCTGTTTTGGGACAGACTGAGTCTGCAGGGGGCCTGCACGCCCCCACCCTCTCTCTATTTCAGACCTCCACTTCAGCATTGTCGGGGGTCTCTCCTATCCCTGAAGAGGTTGTTTGGAGGGATTAGGACTTGAGAACTGAAAGCACACAATTTGGCAACTCAGTGGCCCTGGATTTACAACCCAGCCCTGCTATCTCTTAGCTGTGTGACATGGGACATGTCCCAGCCCCTCTCTGTGCCTAGGTTTTCTCAGCTATAAAGTGAGGCTGACAAGAGAACCTACCTCGTTGGGTCATTGTGAGAATGAGTGATTTTTGTCATCATTGTTACCCTCATCATGCCCACCTGAGCCCCAGGGATAGACTCTGATTTCCTTATACAAACCCTCCCCCTGAGTACTTGTTACATTGAAAGGTGTCAGCCTAGGGGTTAAGCATCCAGAGTCTGGAGCTAGAGGGATCTGGGTTCCAATCCCAGCTCTGCCCCTCACCAGCTGTGTGATCTTGGGCACATTATCAACATCTCTGTACCTCCATTTTTCTGCCTGCTTAGTGGGGACAGTGGTTGTGCAAAGCTACTGTGTGGATGGAGTCAGCCACCAAGCATTAGCATCCAGGCAGAGACACATGCGGCTATGTTACACCGGTGTTTGTCACGCTTATTGGGTGCCTGCTGTGTGCCGGGTGCACAGCACACAGGGCAGGTGCTGGGGCCCTTCAGTCATTGGTTCAAGGCCAAGCTTGTGCCTTTGTTGGTGGGACGATCTGGAGTGGATGATTTTTGCCTGTGTCTCAGTTTGCTCATCTGTAAGATGGGGAGGCGGATGCACTGAGATTGTGTAGGGTTTCTATCACACTGGAGCCTGTGGCTGGAGCAGTTCTGCTCTGTCCTGTATGGTCATTATGAGTGGGCATCGACTCGGTGGCCATGGCTGTGGTTTGTGTTTACCTCACCTTCTTCTTTAGAGTGACCTGTCCCCGCCCTCTCACTTCAGCACTCGCTCCTGTGTCTAGGATCGTCTCTTCAGCCCTGTGGAAATGCTTTTCACCAAGAGAATTCACATAGTTGGCTTACTGGCCTTTTGAAGCCTTGCTCAGGTGCTATTTCCATAGTGAGGTTTTCCCAGACCCCTAATCCATATTTCCCGCACCCACTTCAGGAGGGCCTTGTTTCCCCAGTAGCGCTTACCTCTTAATAGACCTACTACATTTATTCTGTTTGGAATCACAGCAAGACAGAGTAGAACTGTTTCTTACAGTTTCCAAGATTATAAATCTTGCAGAGCGGTTGGTGAGTTTTAACTGCTTTCTTGCATTTAGCAGCCCAGTGCTTAACGCACGGAGCCACCAGGGCTCCTAACAGACTGTATCATTTGTTTGTTACCCGTCTTAACAAGGAATGGAATCTTGCCCATCATTCTGTGCCATTGCACAGATGAGCAAACTGAGGTTCATACAGCCCATGCCCCTCCCCTGACACTTGCTCCCGCCCCCACAGGCCTGGTACTGCCCCTCAGACGATGGACCTGCTCACCAGGAGCTAAAAAGCCCCGCCCTCGGTGCCTGCCGGGTGCCTGCCCATCCCCTGCCCTGCGGGCCGGGCCGGCAGGATGCGGCTGTGGAAGGCGGTGGCTTTGACCTTGGCCTTCATGAGCATGGACATCAGCGTGACCACTGCCATCTACGTCCTCAGCCTCTCGGACCGCAGCCTACTGGAGGACATCCGTGACTTCAATGTCTTTGACTCATTGCTGGACCTCTGGGCAACCTGCCTCGTCCGCAGCTGTCTGCTGCTGGGAGTCACCATCCATATGGCCAAGAACATCGCTCTGGGCCCCCAGCGACTGCGGGCCTCGTGGCCGGTTATCACCCTCATGTGCCTCGGCGTGGGCATCTACGCCATGGTCAAACTGCTGCTCTTCTCCGAGGTGCGCAGTCACATCCAGGACCCCTGGTTCTGGGCCCTGTTCGTGTGGACCTACGTCTCGCTGGCTGCTTCCTTCTTGCTCTGGTGGCTACTGTCCATGGTGCGGCCGGATGCTGAGTCCCTGGAGCCCGGAGTAGGCGACGAGGCTGAGGGCTTTGCCGAGCAGGCGTCGGGCGCCACCCTGAAGAAACTGCTAGCCTGCACCAAGCCAGACATGGCCCTGCTGATCGTGGGGGCCTTCTTCCTCATCATAGCCGCACTGGGTAAGTGAGGCTGGGGCTGCCGCGCACTCCATCCCACTCTCATTGTTAACATTTAACTTCCAAGGTCCAGAATTCAAATTTAAATGCAAGGTAGGTAAACTTGGGAATTTCACTCCAAATTCTGCCCCTGAATATATCCTGGGCCCTCCCTCACTGGGCTTTGTTGTTGAGTGTCTTCAAGTTGATTCCAATTAGTAGCAACCCCCGCCCCCAAGAATTTTCTTGTAACCTTTACAGGACCAGGTTGCCAGGTAATTTGTTCCTCAGAGTGACTGATGGGTTTGAACCTCCAACCATGCAGTTAATAATCTAGCGCTTTGCCTCCAAGCAGGCAGGGAGCCACTTTTCTTCATTACCTAGTGTCTATGTACAGCTACAAGGAGCCTTGGTGGTACAGTTGGTTAAGCATTGGGCTGCTGACTGCAAGGTTAGCAGTTCAAACCTGCCAGACACTTCATGGGAGAAAGATGAAGCTGTCTGCTACCAGTAAGATTGACATTCTCAGAAACAGCTGTACTCTGTCTGTCCTGTGGGTCACTATGAAACTATTCAACATCAGTGAGTGAGTTTTATGCTGTTAAATTCTGTCAAGTCAGTTCTGACTCATAGCAACCCCCTATAGGGTTTCCAAGGAGTGGTTGGTGGGTTTGAACCACTGATCGTTGCAGTTACAACTCCACACCATGTAGCTACAAGCTACAAGACATCTATTCCTCCCCACTGCTCTCACACGGTAAACTTGCTTTCTCCATTGAACACATTCTAGGGTATTTCCCGATATTTACACAGCTGTATAGTCTACTTTGTGTGGCTAACCACAGCTTATGTAGCTGGTCTCCTGTGGATGTATTGTTGGGTTGCTCTGTTCAGAAGCAGCAGTGTTGTCTCAGCAGTGAGGTGCTCAGCTGCTAACTGAAAGACAGGTGGTTGGAACACATTCCAGTAGCTCTCTGGGAGAAAGACCTGATCATCTGCTTCTATAAAAACTACAGCCCAGGGCGCATTCTCATCAAAGGTTTTATTAGAAGAATCATGATAAAAATGTTAAATGCAAAACAGAATTTCAAACTCTCATGGAATCCAGACTTCCTAGAGCCATGGAGGCTGGATGAACATCCAAAACTATTGCCCTGAGATCATCTTTAAGCCATAAAGCAAAAATATCCAAACTCTTGGTAAAACCAAGCAATAGTTGAGTTCAACTAGTGAAGCAAGTTTGCCTTGAGGATTGTGCTCTGTAAAGATCTATCTCTAAGGGATCAGATTGGCAGTGGCAACTGGAAAGAGTAATAGGAACCTTAGGGGGCAGCAAGTTTATGTTTATAGGGCAAGAGTAACTTGAAAAAGGAGAGGGAAGCCTGAAGAATGTAACCAGTCACTGAAATGTACATATAGAAACTTGAATTGGTGTATTTTTGCCAGTGTATATTTTGAACAACAACAAAAGATTACCATCTAGGAAACTCTGTGGGGGAGCTCTCTTCTGTCACATGGGGTTTTGATCGGTCTGAATTGACTCCATGGCACCCAACAACATACACATTTCATCAGACATGAATGTCTCTGCAAGACAAGCTTCTGGAGGTGGAACCTTTGGATCAAAAACATTTTTTGGTAATGAACTAGAATAGAATAAAAAACACCAAAGAATATTGCCTGTATATGGGTAAATATTGTCTAAGGAAATATTAATTGTAGTTATGAGTGCTTATATGCCAGAATATTCTGGTTTATGATAGACATATTTGACCCCATGTGTCTGGTCCAGATGATTGAACGCTCCACCTCAACAATATGGGAAAAGGATTATACTGACTGGGGAAGACCCACAGGTTCCTGGGTCAACCAGATATGGGTTCAAATCTTGAGTCCTGTTCCTTCCCCAGCTGTGTGGACTTTGACAAGTTCTTCCGGGTCTCAGTTTCCTCTTCTGTGAAATGGGTCTTGATCACTAAGCTTCTTATTTTTTAGTGTCCAAAGCTCAAAGCTTGAAATAAGGCACTCTGGTGGCATTGGGTTAGGCATTGGAGTGCTAAGTTGCAAGTTCAGTGGTTCAAACCCACCAGCCCTTCCATGGGTGAAAGATTAGGCTGTCTATTCCTATCAAGATTTCGTCTCAGAAGCCCCATCTAGGGTTGCTATGAGTTGGAATCAACTTGATGTCATTGGATTTGCTTTGTTTTAGTTAAAAGCTTGAGTAAAGTCAGATAGGAGGAAGATGCGGTCTAGACTTTGTTCTGTTGTGATAAATACAAATGCTGTTAGGAGTTGGGGAATACTCCCAGGGACAGTAGCTGGGGCTTGGGTGAACCCCAGGGCTGGCACTGGTCCTGAAGCCCCTTCCCTATCATTACCCACCCTCACATACCCTTTATCAGCTTTGTGAGTTGGGGCAAGTTACTTTACCTCACTCAACCTCAGTCTTCTCATCTCTAAAATGAACATAAGTGCCTCTTCCATTGCATAGTTGTGAGGGTCAGTGTAACACTGTGGATAGCTCCCAGCACACAGGAAGTTCCTAAGAGGAGTTCTTAGCTGTGAGGCTTGGAAGGAGACCTGGTGATATAGGGTTCAGCTCTCACCTACTAACTGAACACTTGGTGGTTTGAACTCACAAGCTGCTTTGAGAAAGGACAAAGATAGCCGTCTACTTTCATAAAGGTGACAGCCTTGGAAACGCTATGGGGCAGTAGTTATCCTCTGTCCTACAGGTGGGGCAGTCGGGGGGTGGGAGTAAGTATCAGGATGGCCTATTTAATTTTGATCCGTTTTTCCTATTCCGCTTCAAGGCCTTCTCAGATTACCCACTGTGGTCTTTTTCTGCACCTTGACTGTCATGCAGAAGACATGAGAATCACCCACCGTACCAGGACAGGGACCAGGCCTGACTCAGCCCTGAGCCAGGCTCCAACTGAGTGTGAGGCCATGTGTCATCCCGACCCCGTCTTCCTGGTCCACCCTGGCCCTGTGATCAGGTGATATGTGCCCAGAGAGTTCACATGTCCTGAAGTACCACCAGTATTCGCAGCCTGCAGGGCTGAGCAGTTATATCTGCAGTTCACTGATAATGTTAGGCAAGTGACCTAACCTAGCCAGGCCTCGGTTTCCTGTCCTGTGAAATGGGGGCTCTGCTGGGCTTTGTGAGAGTTAAATGAGATAAAGCCTGGTGCCTGGGGAAAGCAGGTACTTAATAAATGTTAGGCATTGTGATGATCAATCATTTTCTAGCTGGTGCCTTATCCTCCTAATGTAAAAGGAAAATGACCGTGATATGAAAGTTTTCATGTGGAATGGCTTCTTTTAAACTGTTAATTACTGCTAGTTGCCATCGACTCTGTTTCTAGTTGGATCCGACTCAGCAACACTGTATAGGGCTCTCAGAAAGCAGCTGGTGGCTGATAAGAAGAGAGGGCACATGCACAAGAACACCCACACTTGGTGATAATACCCACTTGACCTGGTTTCAATGACTGGATGATTCTCTAATCAACTAGAAGAAGAAAGAAGAGGAAAAAAAGAGTAATCTGATACAATTTGATGAACTTGACCTACACCTATGGATGCAGTAGCTCAAAAGAGGGA